ATTAAGTGTAATGTTATAATATTAAGTATAACATTACAATGCTAATGATATAAACATTAAAATGTTATAAAAATCCTCTAGGGCCAGGGCTATAGCTCAATAGCATAGCACCTGCCTAGTAAGCACAAGGTCCTGAGTTCAATTCCCAGTACCAAAGGAAAAAAAATCCTCCAAAATCTAAAAATCACTTATATGCTATACTCAAAAAGCAGAGGCAGGCAGTACACCTCTGTGCTAGAGCGCTTGCTGAGCATGCTTGAGGCCTTGGGTTCCCTCCCCAGTACCCAGAAGAAGAGAGAGGGAGGGAGGGAGGGAGGGAGGGAGGGAGGGAGGAGGGAGGAAGGGAGAAAGAAAGAAAGAAAGAAAGAAAGAAAGAAAGAAAGAAAGAAAGAAAGAAAGAAGTGAATTTCTGAGTAAAATGTAACACGGGCGCAGGCACAGAGCGTGCTCCTCTCGCTGCCCTTCCCAGCAGGATCTGTGCTGTCTCTGGCCATGGACAACTTGAGAAAAGCATTAAATTACAACAACTGGACACAAACTGTATGTCCGGCACTGTGCAAAACCCTCTCCTGTTCAACTACAAACAGTACAAATTCTCAGTTGCAGAAGTCTCACGTGCAACACGTAACTCCTTTGATAACTTTAACTTCTGTTTTCAATTTCTAAAAATGTGATCTAGTTCTGCCCACAATCTCCGTCCTGCGTACAACCGCTCACACCCAGGCCGATCAGCCGCCTTGTTCTCTCTTCCTTTCTTTGGAGCACTCTGACATCAGAATGCTGCCCTGCCCCAGGAGGCACACAGCAGCTGGTGGCCACACTAGCACCACACAACGCCACTGCTACCCACGGCCACCAAGCAGGGAGGGCACTCTGCATGCATTTGTGACCTCCAGGAGCACCCACAAGGGTCACCGTCCTCATGCAAGGGACATAGGAATTTACAGCTTCCCTTCTTGTCCCTTTCCCCCGTTCTTGGGTGCTGGGACCCTGCAGCCAAAAGAAAGAGAGACAGACAGACAGACAGACAGACAGACAGACAGACAGAGACACAGAGGCAGAGGCAGAGACTCAGAGAGAGACAGAAACAGGCAGGCAGATGATTGATACATAAACGGGTGCTGGCCAGATGGATGATACCTGCCCTTACTCCCACACACAGTGTGGCCGAAGGGCTCCCCAGCCAACCCCTAGAGCCCTCTGTCCACTTGTAGCCAACCTGCTTTCAGTTCTCTGGGCACCAAAGGGATTAGACAGTCTTTCAGGTTTGCCAAAGCAAATCACACACCTCTTGATTGTCAAACTTGCATTTTCTCTGCTGCGATTGCTTCAAATCCATTTGGAAACTAGCTTCTTCGTTCCCTGGGTCTGAGACTCATCTTTCTTTTGGTGGACCAGGGAAAAATACTAAACAAGCCCACCGGGACACCTTGAAAATGAGGAGTAACAGTTCCTGCTGGGTACTCAGTTACACCTAAAACACAGCTAGGGAGAGCTGTCAGTACCCAGGCCTCCTTGGACTGTTGCAGAATCTGTTCTGGTGTCCCCGAACCTGTATTGAACTGGATGGAAAACGCTCTGCACCAAGCGCTGGAAGGTACGTTCATGACACCAGGGGGCTGGTGGGAACCAGGTCCACATCACCAGCCCGGCTGGAGTAAAGTCGCAGCAGCTTCTGCGTGGTGTAAGCGGGAAGCGCAGAGTCAGTGACGGGTTATTCTGTAACTCAGCATATGCTTGTTCACACGTTGTCAGGCAGACATGGCCGGGGCAGGTTTAATTAGGGGGCCATTTGTCACGAGGCAGGAAGGACCGGGGAAGTCGGGGTCCGGGCGGGTGCGTACGATGAAGCGTGCCCTTGACAGGGCTGGCCTGCCCCACGTAGCTAGTCCTTGAGACAGGCTGGCAAACCAGGACATGAGCGCAGGCCCTCGCGCAGCTGGTCAGCGAGAGCGGAGTCACGTCATCGCTGAGCTGCAGGGGGCGCTTAGCCTGTGACTCCATTACAAGTCCCTGTGAAAGTCAGCTTTCTGGCCTCATCACAGAATACCTGAGAAATCCAGGAAAGGAGGGACAGGCTGATTCCTCTGCAGATGCAGCACCTGGCACGTCGCCCTCTGGCCACCGCTACCCGCAGAGGTGGGATGTGAGACCAAAAACCGAAGCAGCTGGGTCATGGGTCACCCCGTGAAAGACAGGTGTGCCAGAAGCGACCCACAACGGGCTTTGTGTGTGCAAGAGGCAGCATTTTTAGCTGATAGCCGCCAGGACTCAGGAGGGTTTTGTCATCCAGGCAGAAGCCCGAGGTCACGCTGGCCAAGGTGGGCATCTTGTACAGGCTCCCAGCTTTAGTGTCACCAACAAGCTCCGCGTGTCGGTCTCCCCAGCGTCTAGGCACAGATACCCAGCTGGCCCCTCTGCACTCCGCTTCCGTGTTAGGCTGCTCACCCTCAACCTGCCACAACTGCATGCAGATTTTAGCTCCACAGCGCTGCCTGTGGCAGCTGCCGGCAGCCCCAACCCCACGCGGCCAGCTCTTTCCACCAATCCTTGCTTCACCTGCTCCAAGCCTCCACCGTCATTACCTGGACTGCTGTAGCGCCTCCTACCTGGTGTCCTGCACTATCTCATCCCCAGTCACTCAGGAATAAGAAGAGGTGACGAGTGGTAGCAAGCCTTAATCCCAGCACTCCAGAGGCTGAGGCAGGAAGATTCCTGGTCAGCTACAAAGCAAGGACTACAAAGCAAGTTCAAGGCCCACCTGAACTGCATAGCAAAACCCTGTCTCAAAAAACAAAAACAAACAAATAAAAAAGAGGAGGAAAAGACAAAGATGAAAATGTTAAGAAAAATTATAATACTATTAGATGAAACTATAAGACAGAATTTTAAAATCTTAGACTAGGGAAAGGGATATTTTAAGAATGCAGAAGACATAAAAGAATAATTTGAATTTCAAAAAGCCAAACCAAAGAAAACCAGCAGTAGGATTATGAGTTTCCAGACTGAACATGCCCAAGTGTGAAGAAGGGCTTTCCAGCTGTAACTCAAATCCCAGAGGGCGTGGTGGCCCCCGCTGCCTGGGAACTGGCAAATCGGCAAGAGCAGGAGATGGGCCCCCAGGATGGAGAAAGACAAGAATCCCAGGAAAAGACCCCTGGGAGAAGGACAGGGGAAGCCCCGAGAAACCACTGAAGAAGCTAAGACGGAGCAAATCCAGAAGGGGCAAGGAGAGGGCAGGTTTAAGGAGAGCTTCGCAAGCTTCTACCCTTTTTAAGGGCCTCATGCATGCGAGGGGACTGCTCTACCACTGACCCACATTCCCACTCTCTCTATTTCTTCTTTTGAGACAGGGTCTCTCTCGCTGTGTTACCTAGGCTGGTCGCAAACTCCCAGTTCTCCTGCCTCAGCCTCTTGAGAAGCCGAGATTGCAGGCGTGTGCCACCACGTCTGGCTCAAGGCTCCATGCTTCCTGCTTCATACACACCCCACCAACCAGCTCCTTTGAATCCACCACATCACTGAAAAGAAAACCAGAAAAGTCTGGGCTGCGGGTGCTGGACGACGGGGCCCTGCACAACCTGGTCGACACAGAAACTGATGAAGAAATACTGTGCAGGTACATAGAAGCATGAAATTTCGGTGTGTGCTGCAACATGGATGGTTCTGAAAACGTTATACTAAGTAAAACAAGCCAGGCGCGGAGGATAAGATGAGATGACTCCACCATGAGGCTGCCTAGGACACGCTCCTTCACAGACGAAGGGGCGTGGGGCGGGGAGGAGAGCGGCCCCCAGTGGGCACGGAGCTCCTGTGGCTTGGGAGCCCCTGGTGACAGCCAGTCCCCAGCCAGCTGGAGACAGAGGACGCTTTAGGAGGTGGGGCGTTGCGGGAGGACCGGAGCCGGGGGCGGCCTCCCAAGGCCCGGCACCCAGGCCGCCGGCTTCCTCTTTGCTTCCTGGCACCGTGAGCCGAGCGGCTCCCCCCAGAGGACATTCCTGGTTACAGACAGTGCTCATGGTACGAGGCACTGTGAATGTGTTTATTGCCACCAAGTTCTATCCTTAAAATGATTACAAAACAATTACGCGGGGGGGGGGGGGCTGGTGAGATGGCTCAGTGGTCTGAAGCACCTACTTGGAACAAGCTTAGCAAAGCACAGGGACCGCGGTTCAATCCCGCAGCACCACATGCCAGCCAGCCCACCCCCTGGTGGGCTGAGCTGGCCACACACACACACACATACACACACACACAAATAAATAAATAAAATTTTTAAAAAACAACAACAACAAAAAAAAACAATTATGGGGGCCGGGGAGATGGCTTAGTAAAATAAGCATTTGCCTGGCAAGCAGAAGGGCCTGAGTTCAAGCCCCAGTTCTGGAAGAAAAAAAAAAAAAAAAGAAAGAAAGAAAGAAAAAGAAAAAGAAAAAAGAAAGCTGAATGAAAACAATTATGAATTTTTTATCACAATACTAACAATATGGTTGGGGAAAAGATGATGCGGAGTGATGTGCTGTCTCCAACAGTTGTGGGGCATCATTTCTCATCGATGACAACCTGAGAAATTGTCCCTTCATCAGCTGCCTTTCAACATAAGGACTGGAAAGACTCCTGACCCACGCCAGTGCCCACGGGGCGAACAGAGCACCGGAGGAGCCGCTCCGGAGGGCCGGGAGTTCCGTCGCAGACAGCTCTCCCGAAGCCTCCCCAGGCTGGGACGGCACCTTCAGCCAGCCTTCTCGGCACGCGTGGCTCTGAGACACGTGGGAGGACAGCCACGCCGAGGAGAGACCCCCAGCACACCACTAAGAGAAAGGTGGATCGTGCGTGTTACCCGAAGTTCCAGTGTTAGAGGGGACACAGGGAACTTACAAACGTGGGTAGCAGGCCTGGGGACTACAAGGGCTGTATTAGCAACAGGAAATGCTACCAAAATAAAATAGTAATTTAAAAATAAGTAGAAAGAGAGATATCAAAGTATAAATATAACGATGATGCTCACTTCAGCAGCACATATGCTAAAAGTGGAACAATCCAGTAAGATTAGCACAGCCCCTCCGCAAGGATGGCCACAAATTCGTGGGGCGTTCCATATTTTTTAAATACATAAGACAATAATAGAACGGCCAGGAGTAGCTATCCTGTTGGGTTTTGTGGCTTGGTTTGGTTTGGTTTTTTAAAGTGGACTTCCCCAGGCACAGGGGCACGTGCCTACTGTGCCAGCGCTCGGGAGACTGAGGCAGCAGGGTCACTGTGAGTTTGAGGCCAGCCTGGGCTCTAGAGTGAGTTCAGTCAGTAGTGAATGAAGTCATAAGACTCTGTCTTAAAAAAGAAAATGGACATCAAGCCAAAATGATCAGGAGAGATGAAGAAGGTCACCACATACTGGTAAAGGGAAAACTTCCGTAGGAAGATGGAGTAACACCTCAGCTCATGAGTGCTGCTGTTTGCAAACAGTTTGGTTCATAAACAAAAGTTAGCAAAATTTTGCCCATTTGCAAATTCCACAGTGAGTGACAAACAGTTACAGACACAACACAGGAGCACAAATGTAGCTGCCTTCCCCAAAATCATAGAACAAACTAAATTTGCAAACCATGGTACCACTGCATAACAATTATAAATATGTATGCACCAAATACTGGGGTACCCAGTTCCTTAAAACAAATATTTCTACATATAAGGGCTGGCTAGATAGCTCAGCAGACTAAAGCACCTGCTTTGATGGAGCCAAGCGGCCAGGGTTCGGTCCTGGCGTGCCGGCCGGCTTCACCCCCAGGGCACGCTGGGACTGCAACTGAGACTGGGCGTGGTGACGCAGCCTTAATCCCAGCGCTTGGGAGGCTGAAAACAGGAGAATCACTATGAGTCCAATCCAGTAAGGAGACCCTGTACACCCTGTAGACCCTCTTCTAAATTCATATATATATATATATATATATATATATATATATACATATATATGGTCACATAACCATCAGTACAATCATAGAAGGGGGCCAGGGAGATAGCTCAGCAGCAAACATAGTGGGGGACCTTAGTACCTCAATCTTACAAGTAGACAGGTCAAAAAGTCAAAAGAACAAGAAATACCAGGGTCACACCACACCTTTGCACAAGTGGACTTAACCAATATCTACGGAGAGTTTCATCTAACAGCTGCAGAATAGACATCTTTCCCAGCAGCAAGCAGAACATTCTGCAAAGATAAATAATACCTGCAGCCATGAAGCATGCTTAAATAGATACAAAATGGTCAAAATAGTGTTCTACATGCTATCAGCTCATAAGGGAATGGAACTAGAAATCAACAGCAAAAACCACAGAAACTATGAAAACACATGGAAACTTTAAAATATGCTCCTGGTAATCAATGAGTCATAGAAGAGATTGGGGAAGAAACGCTAAAGTTTCCAGAATCAGATGACAAAGGCAACGCAACATGCCAAACCTACGAGACAGGGTAAAAGCAGCTCCACAAGGGAGCTTACAGCTGCGAATGTCCACATTGGAAAAACAGAACGGTCCCAAATGGACAAGTCAATAAGGCATCTCCAGGCCCTAGAAAGCAATAGCAAGCCAAACCAAAACTTCTAGGGAGAAAAAAAGATAAGGATCAGAGAATTAATAAAATTGAGACTAAAAACAAGTTATCAGTGAGTCCAAGAGTTGGTTCTTTGAAAGGCTAAGCAAGATTGAGAAACGCTTGGCCAAACCCACAGAAAGAAGGAAAGAGAAGAGCCAGGGCTACATGATGCGTTCAAGGCCGTCCTGAGCTCCATAGCAAACCCTGGCTCGGAACAACAAAAACAAAAATGCCAGCTGGAAAACCCGAGGGCCCGGTGGCTTGACTGCAGCTGTTCCAGAATGTAAGGGAAGGGCTAACCTCCGCAAAGCCTCCATGAGATGGAGGGGAAGGAGCACCTCCTTCCCCAGTGCGTGCGTGGGAGCTGGGCTCGCCCCATTCCAGAACCAGACAAGAGCCAACTAAGGAAGAAGCCCAGGAGCCAATCTCTCTCCTGAACACAGATGCAGAAATCCTCAAGAAGACGCTGGCAACAGAATGCAACAAATCATTTAGAAAATTATGACAAAATTTGCTTCATTTCAGAGATTCAAAAATAGTTCAACATATGTAAATCAACAAGCAGGAACAAGGAAGGACAAAAATCACATGAGCATCTGCCTAGATGTAGAAAAAGCCCTGGACAAAACCCAACGTCCATTCATAAAAACCTTGATGAAAATAGGCATGGAAGGATCTTACCTTAGGCTGGGTGTGGTGGCCCACTCATGGTAGAAGACTTCCAAGCCAGGCTGGACGACAGGCTGAGACCCTGACTCAAAACAGTGTAAAGCAAACAATAAAAAAAGAACCAAACGTTGCACCTTGAAGCAAGTTTTAATAATTCCAAAAAAAATTAATATTCTTCTACCATAGTGGGAAGGAAGAAAAAAGCAATGGAGGGGATAAGAGAGATACAGGGAAAAGGAGAGGGGGAAATGAAATGAAAAAAATTGTATTAGGAAGTAAGTAATGAGCCCAGCAGTGGATGCTTGTAATCCCAGCACTCAGGAGGCTGAGGCAGGAAGATTGCCACAAGTTCAAGGCCAGCCTGGGCTACATAGTAAGACCTTGCCTCAAAAAAGTTTAAAAGGGAAAGAAAAAAGTTTAAAAAATAAAATAAAAAGGGCTGAGGATGCACCCTAGTGCAAAGGCCTTAGATTCAATCCTCAGAACTGGAAGAAAAACAAAGCGTAAATAATATATTTCTAAACAACTCTTAGTAGAAAGCAAATTACGAAAGTTGGGTATGGTGCACCCAGCACTCAGGAGGCTGAGGCAGCAGGATCATTGCAGGTTCAAGACAAGCCTGGGCTACAAAGTGAGCTCAAGGCCAGCCTGAGCTGCATAACAAGACCTTGTCTCAAAAATACAAAAAAAAAAAAAAAAAAAAAAAAGCAAATTATGAAATATGTAAAACTGAGCCACGGATGTGAAATATTGTGGGACTCAACTAACACAGTAGTACTTCAAGGCAAATGCATACCTCTAAATACATTTATTAGGAAAAAAATGTTAAAGATAAATGAGGGGCTGGTGAGATGGCTCAGTGGTCTAAAGCACCTACTTAGAACAAGCTAAGCCAAGCACAGGGACCGCGGTTCAATCCCCAGCACCACATGCCAGCCAGCCCCGCCCCCTGGTGGGCTGAGCTGGCCACACACAAAATAAATAAATAAATAAATAAATAGTTTAAAAAACCCAAAAAATAAATGGACCCATTATATAGCTCAACAGTATAAGGGCCTGCCAAGCAAGTGTACGGTCATGAGTTCAATTCCTGGTGAAAAAAAAAAAAAAAAAAAAAGATAAATGAGCTAAACATATAACTCACTTAAGATAAAAATTGGGGTTGGGGAGACAGCTGGGGAGTGGGCTGCCTAAGTGCCTGCCTGGCTGAAACTTGGTGTAGTGGCCCATGCCTATAATCCCAGCACTGGGGAGGCTGAGACAGGAGGATCACTAGGAGTCCAAGCTGAGCTGTGTAGCAAGACCCTGTACCAAATAAATAAAAGAGTTTTTAAAAAATCAAAAGATAAAAACAGACCAAACTCCAAACACACAGCAATATAATAAAAATTGCATACAAAAAGGATAATAGAAAAGATGAGTAAATCCAACAAATAGTTACAAAGTGCCAATGATTTTAAACTTAAATAAAATAGAAGAAATTCATAGACAAAATTTATAATGCCAAAATCTCCCAAGAAAGATAAATTGTTTGTTTTGTTTTGTTTTTGTGGTACCCGGGACTGAACTCAGGACCCTTCTACTGGCTATCTCCCTGGCCCCAAGAAAAACAATTTGAAATACCATTTTTTTTAACTGAAATAAAACCCTACCCAGGATCAGAAAAAAACAAAGGGCCTGGAGCCAGGGAGATAGCTCAGTAGAATAAGTGCTTGCCTGGCAAGCGTAAGGCCTTGAGTTCAATCCCTGTTTCCAAAAAAATAAAAGGGGGGCGAGGCTTCGCCCTGGTTATTTGACTTTTCCCGCCTGCGCGGGGGTCAGTGCCTGGCCCCGCGCCCCGAGCTGCGCCGCCCTGGCGGCCGCCCCGAGAATGCAGCCTCAGCCAGGGCGGGACGGCGGACCCCGCTGCGCAGAGCGCTCGCCTGGGCCACAGCCCGGCACCGGGTGGGCCGCTTGAATTTACCGAAGTGTAGGTGCAGAATTCTGCCACTGGGAAGGTTTCCGCATTCCTTAAGTCCCATCCTGCAGTCCTGTCCTAAGGTGGAAAGGACTTGCTCTGCAAGCTGAAAGCTACTTGTAGTTTTGATAAACGCACAGAATCATGCCAGCGACACCACCATCAGAGATGAAACTGTTCTCTCACCCCAGAATTTCCCTCAAGGTTCTTTTTTGCCCTTTCCAAGCCTTTTCCGCCCGTGAGCAGTGATCCGTTCTCTGTCCCTGTCGTTTGCCTTTTCCAGAACAATCACCTGAACAGAATTATCAGTATTTGGCTTATAGACGGACCTACTAGAACTCTTTCACATGTACCTGGACAATTCGGCTGTGTGAAGCTACAATTCCAACTGTAAATTTTATGAACTTTAAATACAAACCATGTGTTTCTCACGAAAATCCAGTGTCTGATTTAAGAAGTACCTACTAGCACAAAACAGACACCTGACTTCAAAAACTTAGTACAAAAAAGGTAAAATATTTCCTTCATGATCTTTATGTTAATAACACGTGAAGAATTTTTTTCCAGGACATTTGAGCCACAAGCCTTAACAGTAAAAGCAGGGCTGACTTTTTTATTAGCACGTGTTTGTGACACATTCTCAGTACCTTCCTCCTGAGGGGCCAGTACGGGGACATAGCACATCCCCCGAAAAATGATAACCCCTCTTTCTGGAGTGAGATGGAACCTCGGTGCTGTTTTAACTTGCATTTCTCTAGCGGCCAGAGACGCTGAGCATTTTTTCATGTCTGTCTTGGCCATTTGTAGTTCTTCTGAGAGAGGTCTATGCATTTCAGTAGCCTACTTTTTCATTAAGTTTTTTTTTTATTTTGGGGGGCCTGTTTTTT